CAAGCATTTTTAAGCATTGCAGCCCCCCCCTCCAACCCACTTTTTATTTTTAAGACAAGGTCTCATGCAGCTTGGACTGCTCTTGAATTAGTTATTTGGTAGAAGAGGTTCTTGAACCTGATCTTCCTGCCTCTACCTCCCAAGTGCTGAGATTAAGATATGCACCACCATATCCAGTTATATGTGGTGCTAGAGATGGAACCCAGGACTTCAAACATGCTAGGCAAGCACTCTACCTACCAACTGAGCTACATCTCTAGCCCCTTGCGTTTTGTGTTCTGAGACATGGTCTCCTGCAGTCAGACTGGCTTTGAATGTACTGTTCAAACCAGGATGACCTTGAACTCTTGATCCTCTTGCCTCTACTTCCCAAGTTCTGGAATTACCAGAATGTGCTACCACCTCTGCCCTGTGTGGATGTTTAGTGTTTCATGTGGAGTGGGTGGGGATGGGCGGGGACAGGTGGGGAAGACTCTTCCTATGGAGTGTTGTTCTTACATCCATGACCTCTCATGTACTTGATGTGTGGCTGTGTGTTTCAGGGGTTCATGTCTGAATGTGCACCTATGTGTGTCCCCACATCTGAGTGTATGTCAATACATGTGTTGTCCCAACGGCCTTTAGAGTACACACTGTTCGGACGTGCATTCTGGTGTGTGTGTGTGTGTGTGTGTGTGTGTGTGTGTGTGTGTGTGTGTGCGTGCGTGCGTGCGTGCGTGCGCGCACGCCCCGGGCATGCCTGTGCACACTGGGACAATTTCTGTGTGCGCTGGACTGTGCTCGGATCTGAGCTGTCTCCTTCCCCCAAGGCCTCCTCAGCTCTCTGCAGTTTAACCTCATTCTTTCTGCTGTTTCGCTGCTTCTGCCCTCTTCTCCAGATGTTGCAATTAAAGCAAATGCCGCAATTAAGCAGAGTCCCCCAAACAGCCGTCCCACCAGGATCCCCTTCCAGGAGCTAATGAGGGGTTACAGCACGTGCAGACCCACATGGTATGATGCAGGCTCTCGGGGACCCCCAGACTGCGGTGGCGTGGAAGCTCAGGAGTTGAACACACACGGCATAAGTCTGCTCACTCAGACCTCTCTGGATCTCAGTACACTGATCCCCGATTCCAGGAAGGCCCCCTGCACTCTGCTTGTGGGACCCCAATCCCACAGTCACAGTCTGGACCATCTGGCCTGTGCTTTGTCACCACAGGCCTCACTGTTGTCCCTTGCTTTCCCTGTCACAGCCCTGTCCACCATGCCCTGGGTGGGCTTCCTCATCCTAGGCTCAGTCCTCCTAAGCCAGGCTTCTCCCAGCCCTGCCTGACCACTCCGGCTGTCTGAAGATACAGCTTCTCCCTGTGGGACATTAGTTCATTCAAAGGCAGGACCTGAGCTGTCCGGGTCACTGCTTTTATTGCTGTGTAGTTAGCTTTCTCTCTAGTGACCCCACACTTGAAAAAGGCAACTGAAGAGCAGAAATACCATGGCCAGCAGAGACACTCAGCACTGCAGAGCACCAAGTGCTTGAAGGAAGAAGGTGAGATTCAGCCTACAACAGGCTCCAATGACCTGCTCGCTCGACTCAGGTGCCCTTCCCAGCTTCAGCACCTTCTGCTTGTCTACTCGACCGCTTGGTGTTCCTAACAGTGAGGCAGCTCCCGGTTGCCTGCAACTCCAGCTCCAGGGGATTCAGCACCCTTCTCTGGTCTCTACAGGTCACACACATGCACACATGCTTGCAAATTCATGTGTGCATGTACACACACACACACCCTCTTCCTCCAGTCAGCCCCCCCCTCTCACAGCTCCACCATCTTCTAAGCATCTACTCAGACTTTAGTGGATGGGACCATTCATGAAGCTGGATCGTCGCCAACACACTGACTCAATCTCTTAGTGACTCTTTTTAATCTCTTAAGTGACTCTCCAGGTGGCCTGGGAGTCACTCTGTTGCTCAGGCTGGCCTTGAACTTACAACAGTCCTCTTGCCTCAGACTCTCAAGTGTTGAAATCAGAGATGTGAGCCACCATAGCTAGCTACATTTCTTTATGTTATCTTATTTTTGTCCTCTTCCTCCTCCTCTTCTTCCTCTACCTCTGACTGTCCTAGAACCTGACAAGTAGACCAGGCTGGCCTTGAACTAAAAGAGACCTTCCTGGGATCCAAGTGCTGGGACTAAAGGTGTGAGCCACCACTGCACCTGGCTTTTCTTTTTCTTCCTTCCTTCCTTCCTTCCTTCCTTCCTTCCTTCCTTCCTTCCTTCCTTCCTTCC